TCACTATGATCACCCACTCAGATGAATTCTCGAACTGTCCCAACATACCTAGGTTTTGACCCCCTCTAAGGATCTCACTGATTGGCATATCAAAGATAACCCAATCCGACACCTAGTGCAGTATGATAATCGAGTCTAGGGGTCAGGTGTAACATTCCAGTTTTGCCCATCTATCTCCAAGGTTTAGGGCAATACTGGAATTCTGGTCCGGTTCAGGGTTTAAAGAAAACCCACACTACATGTACCTCAGGTCTCACCCTGGCAGCTGAGACAAACCACCCCAACCAACTTGGCGGTACATCAGTGTCGGCCTTGGCAGGATAAATCTCCCCAGATCTATCCAACGGCTATGAAGATTCTAAACTAACACGAATCTCATATGTGTCCTGTTTAAGGGTATTACACAGAAACACACCAATATAACTTGAATCGAATATGTACTTTATTCATTTACAATAAATGTCATAATGCACTTCATGTTGATTGGAGCTAAGGGCATACACTGTCTAACACTTGTCGCCTAGGCGTCGCCTTGACAACTATGATAGCAACACTTTAAAACAAGAGCTCCATGAAAAATCAAAAGGAAAAAAAATAGATTGACAAAGCAAAGAACTGGTTCTCAATTGGATTTGTTTGAACCGCATGAATGTTATAAATTGTAGTATAATAATCATATGATTTTCAGAAAAAAAAAAAAAATTCGCATGGTAATGCTTTGGCTCACTGGTGGCCAATAGATAGTGATACAATCTCTGAACTCCCAAACAAACCCTAGAGGAATCTGTAGAAAGAAAGGACAAGAGAAAGGGAGAAGAGAGGAAGAGAGAAAGAGAGAAAACTGGAGGGCTGTCCATTACTTGGTTAGGACTTGCCTGTCCATTTACATAATATTCAAACATAACAAAACATAAGTAAATGGCTAAGACACCCCTGATCAATTGACTGCTAATACTCTCTCTCAAGCTGGAGAGTATATATTTCATATAATCCCAGCTTGATGCATATGTATTCAACCCTTTTCTAGCTTAAGCTCTTTGTAAACAAATTTGCCCATTGCTTCTTTGAACTTACATGAGATGTGCTGACCTCTCCACCAAGTACCTTCTCTTTCACGAAGCAACAATCAACATCTATTTGTTCGGTTCTTTCATGGAAGACCGGATTAAAAGAGACATGGACTGCTGCTTGGTTGTCACAATACAGCTTCGTAGGACTTGTCATGGTGAATCCAACTTCCTGAAGTAGGTGTTTCAACCACATAAGCTAACATGTGGTGTGTGCCATGGCTCTATACTCTGTTTCAGCAATATTTGCAACCACAGTTTTCTTTTTGCTCTTCCAAGTAACTAAATTGCCTCCGAGAAATGTACAACATCCTATTGGAGACCTTCTGTCAAAGACTGATCTTAGTAGCCCAATTGCATCAGCATGGCCTTCAATTTCAAGTTTGCTGCCTGATTTGCAATCCATGTCCCGGAGCTATTTTCAAACACCATACAATTCTAATGACTGCATTCCAGTGAGGAATCTGAGGATTCTGCATCAACTGATAACTACACTTACTCATCTCTCACCATTTCAGTTTATAGATCACCAAGCCCAAATGTTCTATCTCCACCAGCACCCCTTGGGATATCCTTATTTGATATCCCCAAACTGCTGAATGTTGTGGTTTTTGAGAACTTCACGTCTTGAGGAGAGCAGTAGAGTGAGAACATTGGGGCTTATGATGGGATGACCAAAACCAGTGAGGATCTTGACCATGCCTATGCATGATCCCCATCTTGACAAAAGCATCTTTTGGGCATTTAAGAGTGCACAATCATGACCCAAGGTTTTGAATGCCTTCTTTTCCGAGGGGAAAATGAACAAGGAAGAATATCCACAAAGTTTTCTGACTTCCAGTTTAGAGTGACACTTCCAACCACTCTACCCAGCTCTCCACCTTTGCTGTTTTGGTAGGGTGTCTTCAAACCTACCTAGCAGACATCTTCAAAGGAAACTTGCCTTTCTACAACCCTTTCCTTGCTTATGAAGGCTGTATTTTCCTAACTAGCAACTTGAATCAAATATTGCCTTGTCAGATAATCCCAGGCTAACCACATCCTTTTTTTAGATAAGTTAACCACAAGCATGTTTAGGACAAGCAGTTAAAGTCTCATCTATACTAAACACGCCCTTTGATCCTTATAAGCATTGTTGCATGGGACCCATGGTCCTTTATAATACCCAAACTTACCAAGTAAAACATTAACTTGTTCTGAAATCTTCTTTTTCATTTACTCTCTCTTTTCTTTGTGCATAGGTTCCTGATTATGCTTTGAGGTATGCCCAAGGAAAGTCAGTGAGGTAATCATGTGCTTCCTAGGAACCTTTATTATGTTATCATCACCATCATCATCATCATCATTATTGTTATTATTATTGTAATTGTTGAAAATTAATCAGTTTTATGATGTTTTTTATAGTAGATGTTTTGTGTTAGTTGTTAGATAGCAGGTGGGGACCACAGTAGTTATGTGATTTCAAAATTTATTATGTTTTTGAGTGTTATATATGCTGTTTTATGTTTTGCCGCCCTATAAGGGCATAGTTGTCTTTGTATTGTTCTATTATTTTTAGTATAAATAATAAGTGAAGGGGTCGGTCAAATCATTGCTCTCTTTTCTTTTCAACTTCTCTTCTTCTCCTCCTTCTCTCTTCAAGAAACTACTTTTCTTTCATATTTTTTAATTCAACAGATTTCTACTTGGTATCATAGCATCAGCTAGGGTTTCTTAAAGCATTCTCACGCAGCCCTAGATCAGTCGATTGCATGAAGTAGTAAAGGGCTGATCGATTTGCTATAGATTGCCCAGTTCTTGGATTTTTTGGTGGGATCTAGTCATCAGGAAGGTGATCTATTGTTCGGCATCAAAATCAAGAAGAACTGGAGTACAGGGAAGAGTCTCAGAAAAGTTGGACTCTTTGTTTTTTATCTGATCTTGGGCACCCAGGTATTGTTAGTTTTCTTTTGATTTTCTGAAGAGGGTGGTTTGGTTTCTRRAATTTTSTRRGCCTCCCGGAGTGATCGATTCACTTTTCTCTCTATTGGGAGGCATGGGGAGGAGAAGATTTCTCTCCAGCTAGGGTTTTCTTCTTCCGGAAGGGTTGGTTTCTGTGTGTG